TTTTCTGGGGGATATTGATAACCCCAACATACAGGATTTGATCTGTTACTGTACAGAGTTGAACCAAAGACAAGATGACCAGTTTTGAAGTATACTCTTATGTCCTCAAATTTTTCATCTATTCAGAGTTTAGTCCGTCCTTACAGTGTTGCATCCGCCCTTAACAACTCTGGTCAACTCAAACCGTCCCTTTACATTGAGTGAGCATCAGAAATCACCAGAACTCCTTCTGTCTTCAGAGTCTACCATACAGCTTTGTTCGCAGCCGTACGAATCCCTCCTTTTGAATGGTCCTTCTCTCTAACTTACCGCTATCATTTTGGCTTGATATGTTAGACAGATCTCACGCAAATCGCCCACCTGTGTACCTGGCCACATGTTTAGAGGTAATAATGCAGAATACCCTGGTGGTTGGGAAGTGACAGTGTCTTCTGTATGACGTGTTGGGCTTAGTCTGAAGCAGTTCTGCTATGGTTGTCCTGGCGAGGTTGTGGTTGACTGAAGTGAACAGCGATGTGACATCAAATGAAAGCATGACTTCATCGTCTTCTATACTGACGTTCCGTAGTTTGTGTAGGAGCTGACCTGCATTATTAACTGTGTGTTCCGATTCGGAGATTAAGTGTTTTATTCTTCTCCATAAGTCTTATTTTAATTTGTCAGTTGGGGTTCCCAGAAGTTAAAAGATTAGTCTGCGTGGAGTTCCTTCAATTTTGTCAACCACAACCTCGCCAGGACAACCATAGCAGAACTGCTTCAGACTAAGCCCAACACGTCATACAGAAGACACTGTCACTTCCCAACCACCAGGGTATTCTGCATTATTACCTCTAAACATGTGGCCAGGTACACAGGTGGGCGATTTGCGTGAGATCTGTCTAACATATCAAGCCAAAATGATAGCGGTAAGTTAGAGAGAAGGACCATTCAAAAGGAGGGATTCGTACGGCTGCGAACAAAGCTGTATGGTAGACTCTGAAGACAGAAGGAGTTCTGGTGATTTCTGATGCTCACTCAATGTAAAGGGACGGTTTGAGTTGACCAGAGTTGTTAAGGGCGGATGCAACACTGTAAGGACGGACTAAACTCTGAATAGATGAAAAATTTGAGGACATAAGAGTATACTTCAAAACTGGTCATCTTGTCTTTGGTTCAACTCTGTACAGTCAAGAACAAGGCCTTGCAGTGAGATCTCCAATATCCCTGGTTGGGGTAATGTAATATAATCGTTCAGCTGTGACACTCTTTTGGTGCCCAACTGCCTTGGCACCCGAAGGAAGAACAAGGTTTAAATTCTGCCCAAGCATAGACAGGAGCAGCCGAGATTCAGAGGTTGGGTTAGGAACAGAGACAATCTAGTCAGTAGGGTTGCGCATAAGCCACTAAGCTATCTCAGGCCCAAACATTCCCGTTGCAAGATTCTAAAAAAAGGACTTCGGCCGAATAGGAGTGTTCACCGATCATTTTTTGGCATTGTGTGGATGATGCTTTCGTGGTGGTCAGGTGTGGTACCGTCAGTAGATTCTAAGAATAGCTGAATAACCTAAATCCATGCGTAACATTTGGTATGGCGATTCATACATACCTCACCTCCCGGATTTGATGGCTCATGAGTGGAGAAAAAAATACATTACCAATTACCAGAAACGAATCACTTGTTCTCCCATCATAAAGCGATATACACTGGCATGGTCTCATCGACGCTTAGTAAAGCCTGAGCGCTGCATACAGAAGAGGTTGACCGAATATCAGCCCAACATTTAGTTTAAAAACAGACTTCAAGAAAATACGCACCCGACGAAGTTGAGTGAGCGGTAATTGATAAAGGTAGGTTACCCAGTACTATGAAGCACTAGGGAAAGGACTGTGATTCCATACAAGGTAGGACAGAACTTGTTAGACTATTCGTGCTCCGTATGTCAGTCGATCTACTTTCTTGGAGGGCACTTTTCGCACAGCCATGCGGAGGATGGAGACGAGCCACGGGAAGTGAAACAATCACTTGGCAATAAAGTAAGTAAACATGGTTGCGCTATTCCTTGTCGTCTGTCTGGATGAGAACCCCAAAACGGGACATATCGATGGCTGGACACATTGTTAGACGGGGCCAAGTTGCGCACTCAGTGAATCTGGAGCAACCAAGCTGTTTCCCTCAATGTATAGCTCTTCTCCTTGAACTTCTCGATGAAAGGTCTACTAACAACCCCGTATTTCCGCATCAGTTTTTTCAACCACCGCCTCCAATGCCCATAGGAGGCAATAGCTATCTACTCCATCACCCCAAATTATCGTCGAACGCGACTGTAGCCTCTATAACAACGGTAGAGCATGTATGTGGTTTTTACAGTTGATGATGATGTTTCATAGGATGCTTAACTTCACAGACGTTTCTGAAAGTATATACTCAGTATTCGTTTATTTGATAGGTCGCTGCCAATTTTTGAGGACCAGAAAGCCCGACATAAAATCAAATGCAACGACCAGCATTGAGACCTTTAGAGAACAATCAGCCAGACGACCGTACATCGAAATTACTGAGCACAAGAGGGGAATGACCAAATCACCAAGAAATGTAAATATTAAGCGCCGATCAGACTCGGCGACTGCGGGACAGGCATGGCACGGGGCATGGAAAAAAAAAGCGTTCAGCTGTAGTACCCTTCCGGTGCCTAGCTGCCATGCCACCCGAAGGGAGCACGAGGGCTGGGATACTGCCAGGTTGCCCAAGCCTAGTCAGGGGAAGTCGACAAGCGGAGGTCGGATTCAATCTACGGACATTCTGGTCAGTAAATTCACGCTCTAACCAATTTGGCAATCTTCCCCCAAAGTGAGAAAGGACGAAAATGCACTAGTCGAGATATTGACAGTGTATACTATAAATAAAACAGTACTAGCTTCCTTTTCAGGAAGCTATACAGTGCATAATGTGTCTTTCATCTAGCTTTAGCTTACTGGCAATTTCGGGCGGCAAAAAGAACCGGAAATAATACGATGACTACCTATATTTTGAACGACAAACTCAAGTACTCAGGATCGACCGCCTTCATTGCGTTTCATCAATAAATAGATGTTACTTTTGAGTTGAAGAGCTCCAAACTTGATTACTGCGGCACTGTAGGTCGGAATGCGGGGTTTGGAATGAGTTTGCCGCCAGAAGGATTTAGTCGGTGGAGGAGTAACAAAGGTGGAGATGGTGCACTGATTGTAATATGGGCTAGACAGCCATCATTAAGGCGCTGGATTAGATCGGAGTATAAAACAGTGCATTCCGAAAAGAGATAAGGACATCAAGTTTGACAAAACTGAACCACTTTACGGATGCTGATCCAGCGATACTTAGGATAGCCTGGATGTAGTATGGCTAAGGTGAGTGAGTGCAGGCATCAGTTACATAAGCGAAATCACAATATAAGAGGTGGGGGAAATCAGACCGCAAAGTAAATAGGTTCAAAGGTCTGACAATTTTGAAAACTATGCAATTAAGGTATTTTGAAACACCTGTTTACCTGCAAGTCCAAATAAATTTCTGCATAAAGCGTCCTGCGGTATCGAGTCTGCATAAGATATTTCGCTTAAAAAGCAATATTATAAAAACCGCCGCCTAGGATTTCGTCACAGAGGCTGGAGTACCTCATGTCAAAAGATCAGTTCTTCTTACTGACGTTTCGATAATCCCGCATAATGTAGCTAGAGGAGATACCACTTGACACCCTCAAACCCTTCGGCTTAGCACGCCTAACTTTCTGTGGTGTATCTTTGATTTTCAACTGGTAATTCCTGAAGAAGTGCGACACACTTGTTGCTGTATTTTGAGCATCGAACGAAGACATTGTAGAGGCTCACGTCATTGGAAACAGTAGTTGAGTTGTGAAATTCGCTCCGAAAAACTTACGCCGCAGTAGCTCGCTACTATAGGTCGTCTGACAACTTAATGCCATGCGTTTGGAATTCCTTTATAACATGGTAGGCCAACCATGACTTTGAGTAAAAGACATCAGGCCTGCTGCTGAGGGCATTTTTCTACATCGGCATCTCGAGGTTTTTAACTATCCTCTAGTGCTGTCCCAATTGGTTAGGACTCCACTTCGGAACCATTTTTACCTGTAGTAGGGTTACTGCACTGATGTTCTCCTCCAACGAGGAACTTTTCTGGCCCACGATAATATTGTTATTTTCATACTACTGCTTTTAATAAGTAATTTCACGTAGACTCGATTTGTGCATGTCGACAGTACATGCTGGACGAACATCAATCCCGAAGCGAGAATAAATCATCCAATGAATGAAACCTTTACACGAGAAGTCTTCATTGGAGCAGGTAGTCTCTACGTGATGTGGTTCCAGTAACTGAAGGAGGAGTGGCACCATATCCTGCTCAACTGTGAGTTCACCACTGGTGGTTCATCATTTGGCAGGTCGCGGGTCCAAAACTCCCTCCATGTGATACCTAATTAGGATGAAAGAGCTACAGAACGCTCCTCCGGTTTCCTCGTAGACTTGCTTCACTTACAGGAACTCAACCTTCACCCAGTAAAAATAAATAACACACGAAATGTCCATAGATTTTTTTGAGGAAATAGGCTGAAATTTGAGAAGGAAGCGACTTTAAAAACACAAAACTTGGCACACTTTATTCCGATTCTGGTTCACTTCTCTGGTGATTACTCAGCTCTGCAGACCTTTTCCGCTCTCCGCCTATCCACACAGTCAATTCATCCATTCTTGGCAAATAGTAGAAGAACTGTTTTGGATATATAAGTAAATAAATATGTGAATGGCGTTAGACAGTTCGTCAAAAAAACCGTCTGTACAAGAGATAAAAAAATGCTAGAATACAACTGATACGAGCATTCCATAAATTCATTCTCTGACAAATTCATGAGTAAGGAGTGTGACAACAGCAAGCCTACACACAACGCGAAAAACATCCTCTTTTATGCGAATCACAAGGAGCAACCCCAGAGTACTTGACGACATTTGTTCTATGGCGCGGGACTAATGATTCATGAGCATCAAAAAGGACCTGGTCTCATACAGATGGTAGTGCAAGAGAGGCCCTTGGAACGAAGCCAAACTTAAGCCTTCTCCCTGAATCAGACTATTGCATGCTGGTTGCATGATGTTGTCTCCGGCGTAGAGCACTAATAGACGTACCCTGTGCCAGTCACTATTTTTAGTTTCCCGTTTTATTGCGCCGGAAATGTAACCGAGAAGTTTTTGTTTACCTGCGCACAGTTGTAATGGTGGAACCAATAAAAATGTGGTGGTTTCACAGTCAAGTGAAAGTTCCATGACACCAGAAAAAACAAGCTTTCGCTTTCACCGAACCGGACTATGCAGAGAGCTAGACGTCAGAGGTGATCAAAATGTGAAACTCTGAACTGGACCAATCACTGACTGAGCTTGCAGGGTGGCTTGTAAGTCCGCGCCTGTGCCTTCAACGTCGTCGGTAATATAGCCAACCTTCTTAAACAGGTCGTGTTTTAAGTGTTTTTGCTTAGTTAACTCTGTGCTATTTCGTTCCTATAGATCTCGGTGAAGAAACTGCTGAGTAGCAGACAGTGATGACAGATTTTGTGCTTTCGTTGCGACAGGGACACTGAGGAAGATGGATATTTTTCGGAGGAGAAATGAAGCATCTGCTTCATCTGGATGGGCTTTCTCAGTATTCCGTCAGGTTAAGAAATAATGTCAGCGCTAAAACTAGTGCAAAAATATTACCTAACAAGCAGTGCCCTTGTCCATCATTCTGGTCCCATCCAAATGGTTCACAATGAAAGAGTCATCTCAAGAACTTCCCTTGTTTTCGTTCCATTAACCTGATGGAATANGCAAAGTTTAGGTAGGCTTGCAACATCAGGGTTGCTGGTGGCTCATTTTTCTTTCCTTAAAAACATTCGTCCACAAACTGCTCCACCATCAATGTTAGAACATTAGTTATTTTTGCTTTTAAACTTTTTTGTGCAAGTAGTTTGTTTTCGGTAGCAGCGTTAGCATTGGTAATCTTGTCTGGACCTTAAAAACGAATGTCAATGAACATGTGACCAGACAGCATGGAATGGCTGAATTCGATCCAGTCTAACTTCATACTTCTTTCTTTTGTCAAGAAATTTCTATTATCCTATCCGAATGGCTCACAAAGGACACGTGCTCTTTGCCGCACCCATAGCCTGTTTGCTACAATTTAAAAACGCGAGCATCCGAAAGTTGATGCGGCTGGCCAAATAACAGTTCACAGAAGTATGCGAAAATTAACACTGTTTATACAACAGTTATTTGATGAGTGTCTGTGGGTTGACTTCAGTGGTGGTGTGAAATAACAGCGCCCATTAAATAATGACGGAAGTGTGTTTCGGAACATGCTGAATAACATCATTAGGACGGCCAAATTTTGCAGACAATCTAGCGAATGAGGTACCTGAGTCACGAAAGTCGGTACTGGCCCGAAACAGTGTGGCATTGGAGATGGAGTTGGGGACGTGAGGATGTTACGAATTCGCAATGAACCAAAAGGCATACAGTTATTGGGCTTCGGACTGCCTCTGGAGCACAGTTTTTGACAGAGGATATCAACGTATTGTGCGTCTAACAAACATCATTGGTTCGAGTGGTCGGCAGGCTTGAACGGCTTTTAATAATCTTAAAAAACCACCACGGCCAAATACTTAGGAGGTGCAGATTACAATGACTAGTGTTGATGTACAAAGATTCGCCATTTATTTAATATTTAGTCCGCTATGCTGGAAAGGAAAAAAACCAATTTTCATAGCTTATTTCTCCCGATGTCCTGTTTAGGCTCCCATCCAGGTACACATTTTGTCGTCTAGTGCGGGGATAGAATAAGTAATCTTCCGCTTTCTCAGTGGACATAGGCAGTAAGCCGATGACGCTTCCATGTGGCTATTATTGTATAAGTTTTGTACCCGAGAAGACAAGTCGCGTGATGGTTTCCTAGGAGAATAAGTTTTAAAGATTCAACGACAATAAGTTGAATAAGCAAAGAAAGGTTGCAA